CTGCATGGGTATGGGTTAAATGCAGAGGTGAATAGGCTCTATGCACAGCTCCACTACTTCCTGAATTTAATGCAGCTCCTTTGTTTCCTGTCTTTCATGATTGGATGCACTGATTAATCCAGGTGTGTATGACCTAAGTAACTGGCCAGACACACCTGGATTAATCAGTTCGTCCAGTAATGAAAGACAGGAAACAAAGGAGCTGCATTAAATTCAGGAAGTAGTGGAGCTGTGCATAGAGCCCATTTCTCCAGTGTGAGATCAATAAAGTTCAGTTAATATTACTATGTGTGACTAAAAGAGACTAGCATTATCAATGGATATGTTGATGATTTTAGAAACTAAGAATTAATTTCCCTTCTTCCTTTGTGAAACGTATCGGAAAAATCTTTCTTTGTAAATGTCACTCTGAACTTTTAGTCTTATCTTTTGTCGCCTTGGCAGTTTGACTTTCCGGTTTTCATTTCTTACGAGCAATACATTTCTGCACATAGATTTCTTCTTACAAGACATATTTTACCTGAATAGGAGGAAATTAATCCATGATGTTTAAGTAGCTGAAATAGATATTTTCTACATTTGCTAGGTTACAGAACAGAGAGGAGGTGAAAAAATAAACTGTAAACAGTTGATTTATATCACACTGTCCTTAAAAATAAAACATGTTATATCTCTTTCTCTAATTGAGTCAATGGAAATGAATTCTTGAAGCACAACAGAAAAGTGGTCAGACAATAGTTACCAAGACCTTGGAAATATTTCGACCATTATTGTACCATTGATCAGGTCAAAAATATGTCCCCATAGGCATCCAAGGGTCCTTTTCACAAAGCAGGTTCACTGAAAACTCTAAGTTGTCTAAACCCGAAAACAGGTAAACTATTACTTTTCCCATTCACTAAACGAGTTTCCTCAACCTCTGTTTCAGTCACCGTAGTAACATTCTCCACAGAGCTAACCTGGTCGGTAGCAGGTTCTCTTTAGTAAAGACAGGGTGTCCTCTGTCTCAGCTCTCCTTACAGTCAATCACGTTGTTTTATTTCTTGATTTAGTCTGATTTTTGTTGTAGTTTTGAGCATTAAAAATATATTATATATAACTACCAGTTTTAGTGAGGCAGACACCCTGTCTACTTTTAAGACTAGGCTTAAAACTTTCCTTTTTGATAAAGCTTCTAGTTAGTGTGGCTCAGGTTATCCTGAGCTATCTCTATAGTTATGCTGCTATAGGCTTAGACTGCTGGAGGACATAGGGACCCCCATTTCATCATTCTGCTTCATTCTATCTCTATTCTCCCACTCTGCAGAATCTGTTAGTTCAATCTCTAACGTTCTGCTCTCTCTGCTTTTTCTCAGAGTAGCTTTGTCTCGTCTGTTCCTGTTTGGCTGTGACTCCATCCTGGAGAGAAATATCAGCTGTGCTGCTTCCATCAACACCCTTGTTTATAGATGCTGGAGATCAGCCTGTTTTCCAGTGTAGTCCTGTTTCTCTGACCGTGACTGGCTGGATGTGCTCTTTTCGTCCTCTGGGATGGGAGCTGATTCGGTGCTCGTCGGCCTGGCTGAGAGAGGATTCTACAACTCAGTTGACAGGGTAGGAGATTACTTGTTTTTTTGGTTTGTTTAATATGAGCAAGATGCTGATAATTTTATTTTTACTTAGTTATATTTACAGTACATGAAGAACTACTGAAATTATTTTCGGATTAAACATAAATAGATTAATTAATTCCGCGTGGGAAAAAGAATTACATGATAACAACCTAATGAGCCAACTGATACAATCTTAAACCATTCTATGGGAATGATAGCGGCTAATAAAGACCATTTATTGGGATAATAACATCCTAAGTTTCGACTGCAAATAGCCACGTTGCTGTGTAAAAGAAGATTGAATCAACAATGGGACCCATGAGATGATGCACAGGTTCTGTATATTAGAAAACCTTATTAGACTTCATTTCACCTGCTGCCAGAAGATTTAACCTTAATAGATACATTCCAGCCTGTTTATTTAGTTGGTGCAAGCTGTAAAATGAATCAGCTTGTTTGGTTACGTTAAGAATACATCTGACTTATAGATGTTATTGTGTAATCCTCAAAGGCCAAACACTTTAGAATGTGTTCAGTAACCAACCGTTATAAAGTGAAGTAAGCAAATACAGTAGAATACTTTTACTGGCCTCGTGGTTTTGCTGTGTATACTAAATAAAACCATATTATCACATAAGCTAACAGCAACATAAAGAAAGTAGTTAGTATAGTAGAAAGTAGAAAGTATCAGTTTCACTGATGTAAGCAAAAAGAAAAACTTAAGTTGTCTAAAGATGTCAGCTTGGTTTAATGGAGGAAACATAACATTAGCATCGGGAAAACATTGTATGTTTCATAAACGCATAAACAACAGAAATATCCCATAATGAACACATGGTAACATGGTGTTTGGATTGAGATTATTTACCAGCCTCAACAGAGTTCCAGGTTTACTTTCATACATTTTGAGGTAAACATGTTGGTTTTAAGGCAAGTTCCAAATGTTATTTTTGAAAGTACATCCATTTCTATTTGGTTGTATTTTTAAATCTCTGATTTATTGTATATTATAATTGTAGTAAGACAGGCACAACGAAACAGGGAGCAAGTGAAACCATCAATTTGTCTGTTTTCTTGTTAACTTTTTTCAATGTCAGAAATGATTTACATGGGCCAGCTTTATTTTCATCCGTCTTCCTGTTCTATCATCAGCTGTTAACTGTGAATTAAACTTCAATGCAACATAAGTTTGTTCTGTGAAACATCAAAAAAATCACAATCCAGTTTTCAACAGCAGAATTAGATTATTAAATCCATCAGGAGATAATCTCACTACTTTTTTGAAGTCCTAAGTTTGACATTTCCAGTCTTTGCACTACATCTGTGGAGTTGCCTCCGCTGACCTGACATACCACTGTGTTCAAAGACTTATCTCCTCCTACAACTGGACTCAATTGCTGCATAATCTTTGTTACTGAGGAAAAGCAGCATCTGGAGCTGGGAGATTTTGGTTTTCATCTTGAGGACCTAACATGTTGCTGCAAACAGATATGTGGTCAGAGAAACTGGTAATGCTAGCTAAGAGGTCCCAGACTCTCCCTCTGTCTTTTGTGAAATCTTTTGTGGTGAGGATGATTATCCTATTATGATAATTATCAATGCTTAGGGCACTGTTAACCACTTTTATAGTATACTAGCATTGACGGGATTTATTTAAAATACAGTTGTCCTTTAGTTGGCATTTTATTTGTATAGCACATTTCAGTTATTACACAATTTAAAGTGCTGTATATTTACTTGTTCTTCAGTTTCCCAAAGGGCAAAAAGGCACCAGTTGGATTTAGATTTGTTCAGCTAGAATTGACTCTCCAGTGGTGTCAAAAGTTCACACATTTGTTACTTAAGTAGAAGTATAGATACTGCAGTTTAAAAACACTCTGGTAAAAGTTGAAGTATCAACTTGACCTCTTTACTCAAGTAAAAGTGAAAAAGTATGTGCTCCAAAAACTACTTAAAGTATAAAAGTATGAAGTAACCTTTAAGAAAACCCAGCCAGATGCCACTATATGAAATGAAAACTTAATTTTTCGACTATTTAGAGAAATTCTTTGAGATAGGGCCAAGGATGAGGGAGGTCTTGTTGGTCTCCGTCTCCCGATACGCTCTCACCCGTGTCCGACCTTTCAGACATTTCGACATCTTTTTCTAAATCCCAACATTGTAGCATGGCATAGACAATTCACGTTAGCAGTTTGAAGAACACCTGCTTGCTTCTGATAATTTCCTTTGGCGTCAGCCAGAGATGGGAAGCAACGAAGTACAAATACTTCGTTACTGTACTCAAGTAGATTTTTCTGATATTTTTACTTTACTTTACTACTTATTTTTATGGCGACTTTTTACTTCTACTCCTTACATTTTTACACAAATATCTGTACTTTCTACTCCTTACATTTTAAAAAATTGGCTCGTTACAGTACTTTAGTTTTGAATAATTTCAATGGAGTTACCGTTATTATTTTTCACGTCATCAATACCAAATTCAATCTAATTGGATGGGAATCTACGTTGCATTTGACGCACCACTACAAGATGAATCGACAGATTCTGCAGTATTCATTCGCGGCAAATCATTGCAGCTTGGTGGCGGTGGCGTTAGCATAGTAGCATGGACGACGAAATGATTGAAAATGAACACAACGGAGATCTAGTCCTATTGGCAGACATCCATTTAAAATGTAGGCAACGGCATGAAAAAAGTGGTTTCTACTTTTCCTTTTATACTTTAAGTAAATTTACAAGCCTGTACTTTGTTACTTTTACTTGAGTAAAGAAGTTTAATAAGTACTTCCACTTTTACCAGAGTATTTTTTAACACAAGTATCTGTACTTTTACTCATGTACGGAAAGTGAGTACTTTTGCCATCTCTGGCGTCAGCACAAATTTGATGAGTAAATAACCAATGAGTGTTTGCATTATATGACTCATCCAATTACACTAGTTTTCACTAGATGTGGATGGTGCCAATGATCTGCATGGATGGAGCAAATAAAATACATAGAGTAACGAGTAATATTTGTTTTAAACATTTAAGGAATAGAAAGTACAGATACTTGTGTGCAAATGTAATAAGTAGAAGTCAGAAGAAAAAAAAGTAATGGAGTAAAGTATGGAAACCTTAAGGGTACTTAAGTACAGTAACAAAGTATTTGTACTTCGTTACTTGACACCTCTGAGAAGCTCCCATCGACATGCAAAAAATTATGATATATTTACATGTAATCTTTACGCATCATTATGACTTGGGTTAAAAAAAATGTTTTGGGTAAGTTTCCATACCCTGAGCCTCAGAAAAAAAATCTTGTGCAAGTAAATAGCAGAGAAATGCTATTCACTTGCATAAGATTTTTTTTTTTTTATGATGATGATGATTTTTTTGTTTTTGCTTTAAGGTCGTTTTACTTATTATTTTTGCAATGTGTTTCTTTAATGACAAAACAGTCTAATAAGAATTTTGAACAAAAAACAGGTTCAGAAAAAATAAAAAGAGTGAACAAGAAGAAGAGTACAGTTTGAAAACAATCAGTAAAAAAACAAAGTATTATTACAGTATTATTATTTACAGCAGGCTCAGTGAAAAAAATGCTATTAGAAGTTTTCCAGAAGTCTGCGATCAATCTACTTGCTAATAAGCTTATTATTGCAAAGCTAACGTATCCTTCAGATGACATAAAGCAAATTCTCTCAACCAACCGAGCAACAGTAAACAGCCCTTTTTTCTGCTGCTAAATTTTTTTGTTCATGCAACTGATTAGAGTCATTTATGAAAAGGCAATGGTGGACACCAACTTGATTAAACTTTATTAAATTATGAGATTAAATTGAAGGTTCAACAAATGGTTTTTGCTTGAAAATGTAGCCACCAAATCCCAAAAGAGTAAATAATGGAATCAAAAGACATAGAGTATAACAGCCTAGAGAAAAGCAGATAGGTTTTCATGAATCCTTCTCATTAACTATTAAAATCTTTATTTGCAAAACATTTTAATCCTTCATATAATTTATGGCAGCTAGAGTCCTTACTAAAGGCACATTTTATGTTTTACTAAGAATGTTCTTTTATGTAATGTTGTGATTATTTAGCATATTTCTGCATGGTCTACTTACTTATTTGCAGGAAAATAATTAATTTAGCTAGAAAGTCTGAGCTGTGCTCTATACCACCTTTTACAGCAAGAGCTGCATGTTTGTTAGTCTACAAAATATTGTGTTAATAATAATACACAGTTTTGCTTTTTAACTTTAAAAGTTTGACATGCCTTTAGCTGAGGGTATGACTAAAAGAGAGCCCATCCGCATCTAGTTAAGTTTTTAGGGACTAATCCTTTAAAAGCTAATCAATACTTATCAGAATAGGATACCTGGGTTTAACTTAGCTGTCCTTAATATTAAAAGTAGTGCGTTTTCTTCAGGCGTTTATGAAAACACTGTTTGAGTGATTTCATTTACAGGCCATTTTTAGATAGTTTGCTGTAATATTTCCAAAACATGCTGAATTTGACCAATACTACATTTAAATTGAATCTATGCTGCTTCAAGGTCCAAGTGTAATAAAAAAAAAAACAATTATTCTTTTAATCCTAAATAATCCTTTTTTTCCTGTTACATACGGATTCTTACCCTCTGAAGTTTCAACTGGTCACAGTGTTACATTTTTAGGGACATGCAACTAAATCAATATTGGTAAAATATTGATAATCCTTTATTAGCAGCATGTCATACATAATATCCTCTTAATGGAAAGAGTTCACCAATCTGTGGGAAATAGGCTCAGTATCTGTGGGCTAGGACCTTTTCCAGCGATCATTTGGATGTTAAATAGAATAACTTCGGCTGCAACACCTAATTATTATAATGGCATTTGGTTTATCACAGTGGTTTGGTTTTAAATCAAGCAATAAAAGATGTCTGAACATCCCACATAAGTACAAGCCCTGTAAGAGTTCATTGTCATTTTAACAAATTCATTTCCAAAATTAGAACACAGGAAAAACATAAATACAGGTAAGAAATAGTCAATGGATGTTAACCTTTTATAAATGAAATGAAACAAAAAAATAAAATAAATTGAAACCTTCAAGTTACTATAAGACAAATAATCTCCCCGTATGTTTGTAGATCTATCGTCACTGATTTATTTTTATTCATATTTTTAGTCATACTTTTATTAGACCAGACATCATCTTTGCTCTTTAGATTTAGTGTCTTCAAACTAGTCTCTCTTAATGCCATAGGAATAAAACTCAAGGGAGACATAATTAAATGTAAGGATCAGGGTAAAAATAGCCTACTTTTTGGCAACTATTGGCGCTGCTGTGCCCGCACGGATGTTCTCCTTCTAGATACAGAACTGGCTCGCCGACTTTGGGTCCTTCCACTCTGCTCTGAAGGAAAGGCCACAACCTGGGTGGATGATCTTTGCACCTGCAGCCCCTCCATTTCTCTCATGTCCCTTGCCATTTGAGAAAGAGTTTGACCCGGGTTGGTCTGCAGACGCTGGAAGAGGCTTTCTCTGTTAATCTTTTTCTCTGGACACATAAAAGTAAGAGCCACACCATAGTCTGACTTCATCTCTCTGGAGAAGCCATCAGAGGTGCCATCAAAGCAACGACCAATAGCAATTTCTTTGGCAACTCTGGGATTCTGATCTGTGACTGTGTAGATGCCATAATTGTGTCCTAATGGATCAACAGGGGCTAGCATGGTGAACGCGTGTGACTCGTTGTTTTGAGCAACTGGCGGATGCTTGATGAGATATTCCTGTAGGAGACCGTTGGTGCCAATCCTCCTGCAGCTACCCTGTGGAATAATTGATATCAGTGATCTATCAACCTCTGCTTGATCAAATAACATGCCACCACATTTGAATTCAACACACGCAGCCGAGGTGTTGGCTTCCCGCATGTCCCGTGTACTCCGAATGTCTCTAATGCCATACAGTTTGCCCCTTGTCTGTGGGTGTGTTCCTCCTAGATTCCTTGACCGGACCATTACTTCTTTTTGACCATAAATTTTGACTTTAATGTAGCATGCTCTGAACTCCTGGGGGTTCGGCCACCAGGAGAGGTAGTCCCTCGTCCACGTTGTCAAGTCATTCTCCTCAAAAGGAACAACATTGTATTCATACTTGTCTTTTTCCACTCTGAAAAACCTGAAATGGTTTGAATCCACAGGTGCATTTTCACAAGCTAATAAGTTCTGATATGGATATATTGGTCCGTTGGTCTCATCAAGATTGTTTTGGTTTGGTTTTGCCAAATTAATTCTGAATGCAGTTTTCTTCAGAGCTGGGTCCTCATGATCAGAACGCTGGTAATCTAATTTGTCTAGATAAGGTTGAGACACTCCGATGATATTTGGATTCATCTTGGGAGAAGAAGGAGCTGCCTCCAGCTCCTCTCCACCAAGTATTGCTGTGACGTATGCAGTGTAAGCATCGGGCCTCATGGCATCACAAAACGCAGGCAAGCAGGCCCCGTTGGGCCCAGTTAGGACACTATCAAAGCGTCCCCATGCCCTGGGATTAGATGAATAACCTGGCTTGGGCTCCAAATTGATCAAACTGATTACTACTCCCTCCAATTGTTCATTAGGAAGGAACTTATCGCTCATGTAAGTACGCACCTTAACATAACACCTCCTGTTTTCAGGCACATCTAAATTGAAGAGTCTGCGTTCCCTGATCTCCATGTTGCCTATTAGGAAGGTGCGCTCCTCTCGCTTGTTTCTTCCACGACCACCAGCAGTAGTTGTGCTATAGGAGAAATTGCTCTCCTCCTCCCAGACACCAGTGTCGGGGTTTAAAGACCACAGTTTCATTGTTGGAATGTGCTCTTGCATTTTCACATGCTGTGTGTCAAGGAGAACTTGGACGGCCCCAGCTCCAAGTACTTCTTTACTTGTTTCATCTCTAAAGTCAACTGAAAACATGCCATAGGTCCGCAGTGGGAGCATGTCACCCTCTTCATCCACAAAGTTGAGGTCACCCGGGGCAGCTGCTGCTGTCGTAATGTTTCTCGGATCAATGAATGTGACACTCGCTTTCACTGTCCCTTCATAGGTTTCTCCATTGTCTTTATAAAAGGAGTTCGGTGGAATAACTATTTGCCCTATTGGATCCTCCCCTTTAATTTCTCCGAGGTCAATAAAATTGGTTTCTCTTGGATTGATATCAATCGGTATCTGTTTCCTCATCACTTTGACGTTATGATAGATAGATCCACCTTTCTTGTCAAAAATAAACACCTTTGGAGTGTCGATGAAGGTTTGAGTTGGGTCGACAAAATTTACAACCAACCTTTGTGTATCTGGAGTAATTTGCAGAGTAAACCCACCCTGGTATCCAGTGATGCCTACTCTATCTTTACCAATGTAAATATGCCCAAAACGCAGAGGCTCATTATTGTCAGCTGCCGCCACTCTGCCACGAACCAGCACAGTGGGTTGAACACATTTCTGACAGCTGCAGTGTATCACAGCTCGTATCGGGAGCTTGTAGGTGCCACAGTCAATGATGCGACTTTCCATTTCCTGAACCCCACAGCAGAATCCATCTCCGTCTCTGCAGCGCATGTCAAAGTCCAGAGATCCCGGGCATTTGTTGTGAGGACATCGACCTGCATTGTAGTACCTGGAGTGGGTGCCAGGTTGAACGCAGTCCATTGGTAGTCTTACAAGGTGTGTTTCAGGGGTGGAATTGCACGCAGGTGATTCTTTGGCTGTGGATAAGATGACATAGATTTAAGATGTTTTGGGTTTTTATACAATATGAAAGGCCAATATAATTACATTAAAACATTGAGGTTTGTTCCTCACAGATCAAATATGTCTTTATGTTAATGCTAAGATTGCAGTTTTCTTCAATTGTTATTATCGCTATCAACTGAGATATCTTATATTTGCTATGAAATATGTTTCATTTGATATAACTGAATAAAATGAATTGGCATATTTAAAGATTTATATTCAAAAATACAAGGAATTGGAAAAAAATTCAAAATCATACAGAAAAAGTTTTTCAAAAGCTTACATGCACACACAATTTGTTACCTGGTATCAACATTTTTAACACACAATGTCAAGCATGAATGACATTATAAATAAGCATTGTGTTAAAGGGAACATATATTTACAGACTATTTAACATGTAAGAATAATTTAATCTCTATCAGGGTTCCTCAATTCCTGCCTTTCGAGGACTGCTTAGACATAGCCTGGGTGCCATTCCGAACTTAGTCCCGCCCACAAAGTTTGAGGTCGGGAAGTTCGGTCTGGCTCTGCTCCATAGTAGCGCGAGTATGATCGCCAACCCTCTGGCGATCCAATCAAATTGTCAGGGCGGGCTTTATACGATGATGGACAGATCAACAGTAACGTAATCAACCACGTGACCAATGCGCGCTTGGGTGACAACAATAATGGCTACCGCTGGAGAGTTTAGGTGAGTAGATTCTGCTATTAGGTCTGTTCTAGAAGATATCGACAGCAAGTTAATTTTAAAAGAGGAACAGAGAAACGCGATCAAGCCTCATCTTCTTATTCTAGGCGTGCAACTGCACGCTTTGATTTTTGTTGACAACAACTATGCCTCGCTTAACATACGTCACGCACTCCGTTGCTCTTATTGGTTGTAGGTCTATCCAATTGAGTGCAGAGGCATTTTTTTTCCTGGTTCGTTCGAAACACGCCCCATAATCACAGCTCTATGGAGCAGTATCAGACTCATATTCTGACTAGAATTGAGTCGGACTACGTCAGGCTAGCTTAGACATACCAGAGTCAAAAAATCAGATTGGCTCTGAACTTTTTAAATCTTAATGAGAAAAAATTGGAGTGATGGTGTTTAGTCCCAGTAACTTTTTTAATTTAAAAAACAGTAATCCATGCCTTTGTTACATCCCGGCTTGACTGCAGTAATGCACTTTATTTTGGGGTGAGCCAGTCCTCCCTCCCACGTCTCCAGTTGGTGCAAAATGCAGCTGCACTCCTTTTAACTGGCTGCTTGTGCATTTTAAAATTCTTAAATTTGTTTTTTAAGTCTCTAAATGGCTTGGCCTCACCATACCTCTATGATCTTCTCCACCCCTATGCTCCCACCCGGTGCCTCAGGTCAGCTGACCTGCTGCTCCTTGAGGTGCTGAGGTCCAAAGGGAAGCTCAAGAGGACACTGAGCTTTTCAGTCTGTTTTGCACTTTTTTAGTCACTGCTCCAAAATTATGGAATTAGCTCCTCCCCCTCATTAGATAATCCTCTTCGCTGTCTATTTTCAAAACTCGTTTTAAAACCTAGTCTTATACTTTGGGAGCATGAGACTCTGTTTTTGTGTTTGTGGTTTTGTTTATTGTTGTTATATGCTTGTATTAGTTTTATTTAATTATAATTGTTTTAATCCTTTTAATTACAACACTGCTGGAGTGCATCTTTTTTTCGGATCTAGCGATCTTTAATTTATGTTCCAACTGGAGTCAGTGGATGAAAGTGCAATATTTTTGAAAGAGTCAAAAGGGAAGACTGCTCTCCGCATTATCATCTTCCATGGTTGTTCTCCTTCCTGTTTTCACTTAGCAGGACACATACTGTAATACTGTAGGAACCTTTGTTGAGTATTAGTGGTGGTCAGGTCAGATGAATGCAACCTGGCCGTTCAGACACAGGTCGCATTTGAAAAAATCGGATTCGTATCGGATTCAGAACAAATAGCCAAGTGGCCTGGGTCGCATTGGAAAAAATCAGATCTGTGTTGTTCAGACAGCCATGAAAAGATCAGATCCAGGTTGCATATGGGCAAAAAAATCAGATTTGGGTCACTTCCGGCTGCAGTATGAATGTAGCCTTTGATGCATTTTAAACGTCTGTCTGACCACCCGCTAATTTTTATTTAGTCTTGTGACAAAAACTGAAATCTACTACTAGTCATGTTTTAGTGATCAAGGATCCATGTTTAGCTCATCATTTTTTCATTGTCATGAAAAAAGGAGCTTCCTCTAATGAGCATGACACTTAAGATGTATCATTGCAGCTCACACAGGAGATCACATACAGGACGCATATGTTTGGAAATGTGAACAACCAATCAAAAGAATCGGATTTTACAAAAAAAAATCTGAATTGAGCATTAATGCCTGCAATGTGGATGTAGCCTTTGCCTTATAGACGCCAGTATGTGCACCCGTAAGACTGAATGAAGTTAGTCAAATTTGGACTACAGCGCTCTGAAAAAGAATTACAAAAAATGTGACACAAATGTAGCGAATGGCTGAATCTCTCATAGAATCGTAAACATTTAAAGGTTTGTTGTTTGCATGCATCATAACGAGTACACGTGAATAAATAATTTATTTTTGTTAAACTCTGAGTGGAATGTGCCTTTACATCCCGTCGTGCAAAGGATTTTGCTAAACTATTTAGCTCCTTACAGTGGCCAGGAACGTCGGGAGGTCCTTCTGCATCCTGCTTCCTATTCCTAGCTCCTTCCTCACTGCCAGCGCTATTTGGATAGCACTTATTATGGTAATGTCTGGCAGTTAAGCAATGGCTGAAGTTCCCTTACTGATTTGAGCTATGCAGATTGAGTGCTTGACTGCATCATTATGAGATAATTCAGCAATTTCATTCAGATGTGTGCAAACAGAGAATACCTAAAAGGTGCTCTAGACACCGACCTAAAGAGGAACCCTGATCTAAATACTTGAAAGACCCCAGGCAAAGAATCCATCCCAGAATCTTCAGCAATGCTACCCTAACTGGCTTTGTGCAGCCCCCCATTAAAGTTAAAAAAGTCTCATATTGGGAAGCAGAAGACTCTTTTAGAAGACTCTTCCTTTTAAGAGCATCACCAGTCACATCACTTGGCTCACCTCTGAGGGGGATAAATCTGCCTACTGGTGGGGATTCACTCTCTCGTAACCTTAATGTAGCCACAACAGTCTGGAGCTCAAAGCTCTAAAAACAGTCAAGATAGTTGAAGAATTTGGAAAGAGTGCAGCACCACCCCTCCTCATCCTAACTCTACATGTGCCAGGGCGGATGCCTTCCGCTCCTGGGCTCCATCATCACTCAGGACCTCAAGGTACAGCAGAGGATGTAATTCCTGCAGCAGTGATGGGACACTTCTACACCGCGATCACTGAGTCCATCCTGTAGTCCTCTATCATCATGTGGTACACTGCTGCAATCACCAAGGGAGGAGCAGGCCGTGGTGATATGCATATCATTCGCTCTGCAGATTTTGTGGTCTGGGATTTTCCTCCTTAATTTAACCTGTTTTCAGCTTTTCCCCCAGAGGTTCTCCTCAAGCACTTTCCCCCTGAGAGACAGGGAAATTGGTTTCACCTGTTTCCCATCAAGCAGTGGACCACTTAAGGAGTCTGCTGCCATCTATCCAGTGCCAGAGTGTTAACCTTTGTGGTAACCCATAGGCCTACTGAGTTCCTGAACTGTGTTTTCTAGAAACCTCTTTAACCAGTTATCTCCATTGCTTTACTTTGGGCTAATGACCCAGAGGTTCAAGCTCCTGAAAAAGCTTTGGAGCTCTTCAGATATCTACAAAGCTCACGGTTGACACAGGAATAGAGATCGGAAAGATATTGTTTCCACTTTTACAAAAAAAACTCTCAGTTCCTTCAAATATTAATTCTAATCTTTTATACATTTCTAAATAACTTGGAGTTTAAATGATCTTATCAGTGTTTGGAGTAACAGTTTTATAATAGTATTAATAAACGATCTGACTAATCACTTTTTACATATAGGTAAAGCGGCAGGGCATCGCTTCTACTCAACCTATCAAAGTTACATTTCAGAACCTGCACTCTCTGCAACAGGGAATTCAGGTAGAGGCATATATGATGCCAAATGGGTGCCCAGCCTTAATGTGGGTGGGGTTTCAGCTCAGTTTGAATACAGACTGAGAGGAAAGACGATAGCATTCAGTAACAATCCTCACTGAAGTCAAAGTCGGAATGTTTCTGAAAAAAAATTCTAATCTCATTATTAGCAGGAACAAAGACATCATATATGTTGGTTAGAAGCACCTCAATTCAAGCTCTTCATATGATGGGAAAACCATGGGCACAGGAAAAAAATGCAAAAATTATATTTAAATGAGCAAGTGATTCTTTACTGTACTGCAGTTTTACACCTCAACACTGGGTTGTTTAACAGAACAAGAAACTTTCAGTGTTGCATTCAGGGACTGGAAGAGAAAATGAAGTTTGGGACTGCAGTCCCCAGAACCATCTTATCCAATAAAAAGATCCATCTTCAAAAGACAATATTTTAAACCAATGTAAATCTAATAAAACTTAATTCCTTAGCCCAGTTAGACTGACCTGACGCTTTTATTTTTCTTTAGGTTTTTTTCGCTCTCCAGATGAACTGACTCTCTTTTTGGGAGTTGTAGTTCCCTGTGGTTTGGTGTGATTTATCTAAATACATTGACATGGCTCATATACGACTTGGTTTTAGCCCAGGTCTGGCAACGCTCCCCTTAAGTCAATTTTAAAAGAGGCTATTTTTATACAGTCAAATTATTTGTGGCTTTTTGGTTTCTGTCAGTGGTTTTTCTTGAAGCTATGGAAATTAAATACGTCATTGTCAAAAGCAATGGGATAAAAGCCAGCCAAAGTTATAATCCCTCCATCAGCTTGCTTTGATCATGTTAAACTGTTTTCCTTTATAGCTGATAAAAATCAAAAGGAATGTCTGAGAAATGTCCATGCCACAGGCAGTAGATTGCATAATAAATTTGCTTTACACATGTTTTATAAATAAGATTTTATGCAAAAGTCTAAAATCTCCATTCTTTCTCATTTTTGCTCCATTTTTTGAGACAATGTGCTGTATCGATCACCCTTTACACCTGGTTTATGGTTTCATTATTAAACATCCTTTAAACATATAACACAATTCAGAATTTAGTTTTAGATTTAGAATAAATTAGTGAATTTTTATTTCTTAAAAATTGGAGACACAAGGTTTAATATCCAACAGCAATCATATGAGCCACATTTCTTTTATAGAATACATACGTACCAATTACAGTAAGGTGAGCTGGAGATGACTTGACGCTCCCTGCAGGGTTGCTGGTTTTGCAGTAGTAGTCCCCAGATTGTTCTAGTTTTAGGTCTCGTAGTAAAAGGTCTTCTCCATATTTATACACATTCTTATCCAGCAGTGTCCCATTGTGGTACCTGTGTAGTAGTTTACATAGTAAAGTAGAGACATAAAAAAAACAAAGATTATCTGAAAGTTACTATAATCAGCAGATTAAATCTGCTACGGATGCAAAGCCACACATTTTTAAAAAAATTTTTTTTTGGGGTCCTGCTACAGGTTTGGCTACATTTCTTGTAAAACCAGTTGCCAAACTCACCCAGAGCCATAGCTCTGTTAATTAAATCATCCATTCCCCCTGCTCTTAGCAGCATTTTATTGATCGATTGATGTAAATTATAGTTCAAAACATTCCCCTTAAGATATATTACTGAACTTTTTTAATACCACTTCAGTTTATTTTGACTTTGAGCACAGCTCCTCACACTTTTGGCTTTTGACGGCCAGTTGAGCTTTAACACATCAATAAAAGCTCTTACCAGTGGTATTTGTCTGGAGCAGGCAATCCTGTAGCTGAGCAGCACAATAGCACACGTCCTCCCTCATAACGCACTTTGTCCTCTGGGTGCTTTACAATATATGGCTTTTCTGTGGAGGGCATAAAAGCACATTTCCTCTGGACTTCACTATGCTTTCTATGTATCATGAGGACACAAAATTCAGCCAGATAAGCAATTTATTCTCATATTGGTCACTCTTCCTAAAAATACTTGTTATTCAGGGATTAACATTCACAGAAGAGGCACAGTTCTCGGTTTAATTGGTTTTTCCATGACAGAGTTGGTAATCAGAGCTTAAGTTGGAGCATCAGGAAAGATTTTCTTATGTTGATCCAACAAAACCTATTCACATCTATCCATATTCTTCATTGCCACTCACCGGCCGATCTGAGGGTAGCCCGCAGCCAGGAAATCCCTCTAGTGTTACTGGACGTAGGGACGACAACTGGTACAAACTTCTCTTTATTGATGGTAATTAAGGTTGAACTGGAGGAGCAGATTCCTGAGAGTGTGAACTGCCCCTTCTTGTCTGTCAGAGTGCTGATGACTTTAGGGTGGCTGGTCAGAGCCACAGTGGCCCCTGCCACAGGGACTCCAGTCACAGTTTGAATGTCTCCAAACACCACATGATCCGCACATGTACAAATGCTGCAGTCCTCACTTGGATGGCCTTCAGCACACTTCAGCTGGCATTTGGCTGTTAAAAAAAAAAACAAACAAAGACGTACATGAAATTTGAAAAAAAGCCAAAGAATAGACATTCATAGGTCCTGAAATAATAACAGAACATCTCAAGATAACATTCCCATCACATTGTGTGGATGTCTTTAAGCATTGAGAGTACAAACTTGGATTAAGGCCGGGCATACACTGTACAAGTTTCTGCCCTTTTCGGGATGATTCTCCAGTCGTGCGAGAACTGATCAGCGTCCTGCATCGTGTAGTATACAGGGGATAACCAGATGCAATTAGCCTCTCATGACCAACTCCCGAGTTTATAACACCTACAAACTCCTGATGGGCCCTTGGTCTTTTCCTGGTTGTTTAGCTGTTACTGCTGTCACTCCTGAAAAGCTCACTTTACAAACATCTGATGCACCACTGAATCAGTTCTGTGACTGTATGGTCACAGCGCTGCTGAAGTCGTACACATTACTGTAATTAGAACTGTAAGGTCACAAGTGTTTTTTTCTGCTTCGTTCTGGGATTTTTGAGATATCTTAAACGGTCCAGCAGTTATGGTCTTTCAGAAAAAAGTGGGTCTGTAAAAGATGACAGATAGGGAGGAAATCTGCTACTATAAATTAGCCCTTTTTGCTTCTCTTGGGTCATGTAATCTAGAAGGTGGTGCATGAATTTACACAAATCTTTGAATTGGTCTCATGTACTTGTGTGTGTTTGTGTGTGCTTTTGTTTATTAGGCTCTCAGGATGTCTGAAAAAAGTAAGAGAGACATAAGAGACTCCTTTAAAAGTCAAAGTGAGAGTTACATTCAAAGAACTGTGCAACACCCCTCCTAAAACTCCTTCATTGGCTCCATAAAGCATCAGATCCACTTCAAGATCTTCTAAATTATAAAGCTTTTAATAACCTTGTAAAGTGTATTCATTTATTAAGTGCTGATAAATCAAATATATTATTGTTATATATTATTATCATCAGAAAAGAAAAAATATACAACCTGTTAATGTTATTTTATATATCCAAGCTCATAATAATTGTATAACTATGTGTTTCTAATCTACATGGATTCTTGTATAGTTGTTAATTTTATGCAGCCGAGGAAAAAAACAGAGATCTACCAGAAAACAAGCAGAATTTATATATAACAGTTATATTAAAAAATGCTTGCATCCCCCCACTTCTGAAATCATAATTTTGTCCATGGCGCATCTCTTGGCTTTGAGTCCAATGTGCGGTATTTGAACCTGCAGTTTGAGCCGGTAAATTGCATCAGAGTGCTGTGAACTTTTAAACCCTGCGTTCTGTCGTACAGTTTGGGCTGTAGTTGAGTACAACAATTGGAAAAATCTTACTGTGTATGCATGGCTTAATGCAGCAGAGTCTGATAAGAAAACAATGGAAATATTTTCAATTGTGAAAAACCGATGATCATGGTGTGGAATCTATAAGTGCGCCAACCATTACCTTAATTCAGGTCATACAGTTTGTAAAGTAGCTAGCAACAGCTAGTTAGCCACGTGCATGCAATGCAATACAGCTCAGGATATCAGCCGTTTAGCTTTTTATCAGATTTTCAGGTAAAATAATCAAGATAAAATCAAATAAAGGTTGTAGTTAGCAATAAAACTGCACTTATAATGATGTTGCTATGTAATTTAGCGGAAGTAGGAACATGTTGAGTTTTTGGTTTAAATCAAAGTAGTTGTATAAAGTTAGGCTTATTTGTCCATATCATGATGATTATTGTGTGTATTAAATGTTTTTCAGTCTTATTTGTGTGATATGAAAAAGTTCCAGTACAGTTTATTTCACACGGTGCAGCGCATGGCCTCCTTGTTAGCAACAGCTTCTTGTTTGAAGAGGGTGTGGTTAACTCTCATTGCTAACCAGACTCCAACCCCCTGGCTAAAAAACCCCTTTAAACTTGGGAACCATCTGCTTTTTGTGGCAGTGGGAGTAGCTCACTGACTTTTGTCTACCTGGGTCAGGAACCCGGCAAGTGACCCGTTGTTAAATTCGCCTCAGCTCTGATCGGCATGCTGTGGGAACACCAGAGCTGGGTTGATCCACTAAATTACGAGACACCAATGAATGCAACGTACAGACGTAAACACACTGCAGCAGTCGCTTCTGATCTAAAAAGCTGACACAACCCTGTTTACATTAGACATGGAGCAGCTCTGGTGGGAGGGATTCGAGTGGATAAGAGAGTGAAACAATAAAGCGCACTGACTACTCCCTGGCTTCCTTCCATGTTGCTCTCCATTGTTTACTATTTCTGTTGCACTGGTGACAGACACTCAGCTGTGGGGGGGAAAGAGGCCATGCAGCTGCCAGTGAGGGGTTAGACTGGCTTTTTTGCCAATGGGAAGGGGCCGAATGACGATTGTAAGCGGGTCGACCCATGTTTGAAAAACACAGGTTAACACGGGTTATTTGAACGCTTCCTACTTTTTATACAAATACAAAGCTTTGCCATTTTTAATGGGGGAAAATATATTTGCACTTCTGAATGTGAACTTTTCACAAAATAAATAGACAAATGAAAAATAATAACTGTTTTATAAAACATGAAAAACACATGAATATTATTTATTCATTCAAATTCCTATTTATTCATTTTATTCTAACCAGTAAAAATAGGTGCTTACCGTAAATCCTCTAATATTGGCCTCTATTCTATTAGCGGCCGGGACTCTAACAGTGGCCTGTTTCGATGTCGGCAGAGGTAAATAATGGCCGGAGTCGTACACAGGCAGGGGCTATAATTAGAACCAACGATGTATAGCATGGGAAGTTCCATCCGTATAGTGTAGTGGCCTTACACAATCGTCCTGATCTCAAAGACATATGTGATTACCTGTAGGTCTGTTGGTAACCAGGCAGCGTTAAAATTAGAGAATTTCATTGGCCTTCTTTGTTCTGAATTTCCCTTGAAATATATGATACTGGTAGCCTACTCCACTTAGCCTGCCTCAAATAAAATTTTGCTGTGATGGCAGAACAGTTTCCATTAATTTTATTGTTTATTTTTTCAGTTTGGCCAAGATTCCATTCTGTGTCTTTTTTTTTTTTCGTATTGCCGTGCAGAAAAATTACAGCTGCTGGAAGATGTCTGAATAATGTTCTGTATACCGTTATGCTAACTGTACTTTTTCAATAAATGAACGTAGTAGTTTTTAGGTTCAAAGAGACACAAATTCTAATTTTTATTAATTCCACTGGTAGTCTGTTTTGATCAAATAGAAATAAAGGCCTGCCTCTAAATCTGGCCTCCTTCCAATAATGGCCTGGACCAAGATGTACCTGAGTGAAATTAAGGTCCTGTCCTATATTAGAGGATTTACGGTATTTGGAGAAATTATTTGTTGAACATTTAAAACAATAAGAAATTTTCATTTTAGGCTTTTTGTGATTTGGAGTCACAAAACAATCTGAAAATAAAAATCTGTTTAAATTATTATTATTATAATTTTTTTTATTCCATGCAAAAGATGCGAAAATTTGCTGAAGCTGTAGTGTTTTTAGTCACAACATGTGAATCTTGTACAGGCCTATGTGTTGTATGATAAAGTGTACCTGGACATGGACCTTTGCCACACTTCTGCACCTCAGCAGGTCTTCCTGAACACTGCACCTTCTCTGAGGTCCTCACACAAGTTCGTCTCCGTGTCCTGCGTCCTCCACCGCAGGTTACTGAGCAGCTTCCCCAGGGGCCCCACGGACTCCACTTAGCTGGTCAAGGAAATGTGTTATTGGATGTGTTTGAGTGTGAGTAAATGTTTTCAGTACTATTGCCTGTCATTCATTGCTATTTGCTATCTGAGAGCACTTTTTAAAATTAATAAATGACTGCACTATTCCAGTAATGTCATATCATGACCTGTTAGCTTGAAGTTAAAGAAAAAGAAGCAGGATGAGGAAATTAGACTAAAGAGTAACACAGCTTGTGCTGCAGGTAGCTGCAAAAAAGCTACGTATTCACAGCACTGGACAAGCTGTTTACTATGAGCATTATTTTTTTATGACAGCAGAAATGTGGCCAGAAATGTGGGTTGGCTCTTTGGGTTTTTTTTAATGCTTCACTGCAAAAACTACCTAGAAATAAGTAAAATGTCCTATATTTAGTGTATTTACCCTTAATTTGATGAGGTGAATAAGATGCTTTGTCAATAGAATGAGTATATTACTCTTAAAAAGAGATAATTAGCTAACATGCAACTGTAATAAGACAATTTTTTTTTCTATTGTATATCTAAATTGACTTCTTACATTGGCAAAGTGTCTAACTTACCTCCTCAATTCAAGAAAAAAATGCACTTATTTGAAAGAAAAAATGACTTATTTTGATTTCAATATTTTGAAGTGTTCGTCACCCATTAGCATTAAAGGAATAGTACACCCAAAACATGATTAGCCTTCATTTTCTACTCACCCCCATGCTGAACAACACTCTGGAGTACTTTTTTGATATCTCAAATGCATCTGGAGATCTGGGAGGCTTCTTGCTGTCTGCTGACATTCAAATAATGGAGGTCTATGGTGACCGAGACAGAAAGGTCCATAAAAGTCCACAAAAAACGTGTCAATATTCCTCCATACTGCTCGTCCAATGTATTCCAAGTGTCCTGAGTGGGTAGCATCCAGAATTTACTCGAAACGAAGTCATTTAGAATGTTTTTAGAGCATAAACAGTAGTGTATAGGATTTCCTGAAAGCGCGCGCCGGCGCGTTCATGACGCTACAGAAGCCGGCAGACCAAGCTAGATGAAAGTGCGCTGCGCATTCAGCGTCTGCTCTGCCGATAATGCAAGCGTAGAAGAAGAAATGTGCTGTTTACCTGTGCAAAGAAAGAAACAACGAAAGAAAAATGTCTGAGGACTTCAGTGTTGAGGAAGAGCATGAGTTCTTTGCCGAGCTGAATGCGCTGGTTTGGTCTGCCGGCTTCCGTAGCGTCGGGAGCGCGCATGTGCACGCTTTCAGGAAATCCTATACACTACTGTTTATGCTCTAAAAACATTCTAAATGACTTCGTTTCGAGTAAATTCTGGACGCTACCCACTCAGGACACTTGGAATACATTGGACGAGCAGTATGGAGGAATATTGAAACGTTTTTTGTGGACTTTTATGGACCTTTCTGTCTCGGGCACCGTAGACCTCCATTATTTGAATGTCAGCAGACAGCAAGAAGCCTCCCAGATCTCCAGATGCATTTGAGATATCAAAAAAGTACTCCAGAGTGTTGTTCAGCATGGGGGTGAGTAGAAAATGAAGGCTAATCATGTTTTGGGTGTACTATTCCTTTAAAAACTAATGGGTTAAGCTCACAATTTCTGCCACTAGTTCTTTAAAATGCTAATCTCAGGCAATATCACTTAAAGTAAAGGTAGTAAGCTTTCTATGATACATTTGACTCTGCAGGAATTCTATGATAATGCAATAAGTTCATGTTTGAGTATAATGCTTAATACAAGTGACTGACCTGTGCATGGTGGGGTAGAACACTCCTTTCTCTCTGCATGGTGTCCTATACATGCTGGTACAAACAAAAGGGGCATGGGCTGAGCGCTCACACATTTCCTTTGGCGAACTTGAATCCCCACATCGTTACAAACGGTGGTTGAGCACGGACCCCACTCACTCCAGTCAGTCCAGTAGCTTTGAACTACACAAACGTGAGATCTTAAGATTTTAAGGCAAAAATCTCTTTTCGTACTTAAAAAACAAACAAAAAAGAAGTCATTTATGTATAACTTCACTTTGAAATGACTTTAAGCAATAGCCTGTATGGCCACAAACTGCTCTCACCTGGGGGACACTGAAAGCGAACATGATAGTTGGAACAGACGCGACCATGCGGCTGTTCTTTGTTGATGCACCAGAAGCCTTTCTCCAAACTTGAGTGGACCACTTCCCCCGTGTCTGCAGCTGCCACCCAGTCTGTGGTGCGGGCCTCCATGGCCGTAGGACGAGCACAGATCCTTTCTCTGTAGTAAAAGCGAATTGCTTCCAGGCGCTCGTAGTCTCCATTTCCACCTGGATGGTCGATGTTGAACCAAGATGTCCACTCAGTTACACCTGAGGGCACACAGAGAGAATGATAGATTACCAGAGTTACTTATGGCCAAACAAGTAGAGAAATATAGCATCTAAATGTATTTATGGAGGAGAATGGGAATGATATACTTAGCACACAAAGTAAGGGTCTCCCAGAGACGGCTCCAGGTTTATATATGAGTTCTCTGAATCAGAATCAGACATACTTTAATAATCCCACAGGGAAAGTGTCTGCAATTTCCCCCTGGGATTATTAAAGTATGTCTGAAGTTAGGGTTAGTAGATAGAAAACTGGTGAGGAGAATCCGCAACATCCAACAGTTCTAACACCAGACTGTACTTTTAGTGAGCAGATATGAAGGGATTGAGCAGAGCTGACATGTGACACAAGCAGAGTGCTGTTCACTGATTGGGTGTGGATGAGGAAGTGAGCTATATAGACAGAGGGACTACAGTGTTATGAAGGACCAGCTTGAACAGAGCATTTCAAACCAAAATCAGTTAAATCCATTAGCCAGTTTAAGCCGTTGTTCTCTTCAGAAATTAAAGTAACACACTGTGGCTGTGTCTGAACGTCTGCCCTAACCTCTAAATCCCTCCATCACTATATAGAGCTATATAGTGGACACAGTTCATCACATTGCCAACATCATCTGTGTCTGTTTGTGGATAAACAACATCTGCTAAGTGTAATAAATACTTCCAGGATATTTTTTTTCCTGCTGGAAGTAATAAAAAACTTTTTTATTTATGTATTTTTTCTTATTTCTACCAAAGTAGTCACTGTATTATATCCAGATTAAATATTTTGTTATTTTACCGTCTGTTTTTGGATAAAGACCCAGATTAGGCAATTTAACCTTATTTTTTTCCATCTATACATAAAAGATGATCAACATTTCCTTGTACTTTAATAAAAATGTTACCGTAATTTCCTTTAAATATATTAACATTTCAACCAAAAATATTTACTAAACCTTATAGATTTAATTGCCTTAATTACTATAAAGGGTTTTCCATCTACTAAAGGGTGTGAATAGGTGGTGACAGAACATTTATCATAAATGCTACATTGTCTTAGACATACTGATTTGATGCTGCTGTTGTGCTAAAAGAATAAGACTTCATATATTGGCAAAGTATAACTTCACAATATGCTTGACATTCTTCATTTTAGTGCTTCTTATAACAGTTGTCATAAAATACTACTGTATTCTCGTAATTGTACGACTTTACTCCTGTAAGTTAAGATTTTCTTGTCATATTTTGACTTTATTCTAATAATGTTATGACCTTATCCTCGTAATATGATTTTATTTTCTTAATGTTGCGACTTTATTCTTTAAATGCTTTACTCTGATATTGTTACAACTTTATTCTCATAATATTAGGACTTAAATTTCCAATTGCTGTGACATGATTTTCATATCATGACTTTATTTTCCTAATGTAACTATTCTCATAATATTATGGCTTTATTCTCCTAATTTTCCCACTTTATTGTTACAATATTATGACATAATTCTCGTACTTTTGCGACTTTAGTCTGATAATATTATGACTTTATAATGTTACAACATTATTCTCATAATGTTATGACTTTACTCTTGTATTAAAAAAAATCTCTAGCCTGGCCCTAATACAATGTCGTACTATTTGCACATAGATAACACCCTAAAGCGTTGCTCCAGAAATGTGTGAGGATATAAAATGCAAAGAAATTCATAACTGTTGCATGGCATATAACTCCTTTAAAGATTACACTAAACAGCAAATTTATCACCTTTAATAAGAAGCATGGTAACATTGCCTGTCACTTAGAACTTAAGGTTATTTTATGCAGGCAAAATAGTAAACAACACAAGTGGATTGCTCTACAATTATTGTTAACTTTAGTCAGTTGCACACATTAAGGAGTCCTAATAAAAAACTCTTTATTCTGCCTAGACTGTAGACGATAAGTTTAGTATTGCCCGAGAAATGCAGCTGAGTTTTCTTTGGGAGTAGGTTTTAAACATTAGTCTGGCTTTTTTTTACAGGAAATTAGCACCATTAAAAATGTGCTGAGGGCACTTTTAACCTGTTCTGCTTGTAATAAAGTCTAGAAACATCATTGTAAGTGTGTTAAAAGCGACGTGTGACAGCAATGTTTAAAGATTTCAAACTTTTCTTGCTTCTGCAAATAAACGTTCCTAATAGCTGCGCCTCTTTATAATGATAAAAAAGCCATAAAAACTGTAAAAATACAACAAGAGCTCATTATTTATAAACAGTGAATAAGATCATGAAACAGGCTTTGCTCTCTCAGTACCTGTTGTCTGTGAGTCAAGGAATTCTTTGAAGGCCACTCTTTTGCTTCTGTCTGATGCATTTCTGCTCCTGAATAATCCTGAAGAAAAAGGCAATTAAAGATGATTTGTGTTCAGGGAGATACATGCACACCCATGAATGCAACTAGACTCCATTGTATCATTAATAGTAGATGTGTTTTCATGACGTATGATAATAGCTTCACTTATACCTAAACCTTAAGCAGACATATTATGTCTCAGACTCCTTCTTCTAAAGTATCATGTTTCTGTGCTCTGCAGTTGTGTTAGTATGGCAGCAAAAACACCTTAAACATTGGTTTCTGCCTCAGTGATGTTTCTCTTCATGTTTTGATGTATAGTCATTGTTTTTTCTGCTCCACTCATTTTTAATGTTGGAAAAGACGATGATCGTTTGCTTGACATTTCTCCTGTGGGTTTCATTTGTGCCAATTAGAAAAAAGTTAAATGTCATGGTCCATAACAGAAACAAAAAGTCTCCTATACTGCCTTTAACCACTTGTTTGTGTGTGTGTGGATGTGTGTGTGTAATGGGTATAAGTGCTGCTGAGTTTACGAGCAGAGAATCCAGTATTGATCGCCGTCCCTTCTGGTTTTACAGCTTCTTAAGTTCTCTATAGTCATGCCAGCTCTTTTGGTTTAATCATTCCACTTTTAATGTACATTTCTGGATAAATTGCTTTGTGTATGCTTTCAGGTCAGCATGGATATGGATCTGACCATCACGGTTGTTGCTCTTTTTTTATTTGGCTTTTAGAAGAGGCATTTTAAGCTTCCCATATGGCTCTGTGCCTCTAATATGTTAGGTTGACTTGAGAACCAAAATCAAAACCCAAACTCAAACTGATGTGTTCAGCAGATGTGCGCCTGCAGATTGAGTTCAGTGAGAGGAATCAAATTGTTTTCCCATCATTCTTTTTTTTTCTGCAGTGGTTTATAAGTCATTATTACATTCCTGCACAGTTCCTGATGATTAGCGCTTCATATTTGTTTTTCCAGAAGTTTGCAAGTGTTTGCACCATGGATAATACATTTTTTGATGCTGCAGATGCTGCAGATGCTGCCGCTACGAATTCATGTGAGGCTTCTTAGCTAGCTCATTAGCTTCTAAAGCTAGACATGGTGCCATTAATGACTAATTCAGCCTAAATGCACACAGACTTGTTTCCAAGAAAGTCTAAAGCAGAATTTGTGGTTACATAACAATCCTACACCCCCTCACACCAATGTTAAACTGAGCTCCTGGCCCTGTATTATCACTTCAAGATGTTTCTCGATAAAAAACCAAAGAAGTATTTTGGTTTTACAAGGTGTCTAACAGTTTTAGGAAAATTAAAAGAGGAAATCCCAATTAGGAGCAGCAGAAAGGAAAACATTAAAGCGCTGACCTCATGGCAGGTATATGAACTGGCCCAGTGCACAGGGCTGATTGTGCATTTGAACAACATATTAACACTTCATTAATTTTAAAGGCCAAAGGGTTTCATTGGGCTACTGATTCATTTGGCTGGTATGTAAGAGAATGAACTCCTCCAAGAATCAAGTAACACATGTTTTCAAGCTCAAGGGAGAAGGGTTAGAACATATTCCTCTTAATGCCTAACTGGTGCCATACATCTTCACTCTTTTTTATGAGGCTTTTTCTTCAAACAACTTATATGTATATTTTAAACTTTGAGAAGAACGTGTATCCATTATAAAGGCTTTTGGTATCAGGTATCACTACCCACAACACATAGTAAGGTAACAAGATAGACAGTAATGTAAACTAGGGGTGAGTATTGCCAATATATCCGGCAGCCGAAAATCACAATATATCGCAAAATCAATATTTTCCCACACTCCTAATGTGAACCTGCTTCACTCTGAATTCTTTACATGAGGTTGGGTGGAAAATACCAACAATTTGTGTTTAGGCGACTGAGTTTCTTCTAATTACCAGAGGTGTCAAAAGTACACACATTTGTTACTTAAGTAGAAGTATAGATACTGCAGTTTAAAAACACTCTGGTAAAAGTACAACTTGACATCTATACTCAAGTTAAAGTGAAAAAGTATGTGCTCCAAAAACTACTTAAAGTATAAAGTAACCTTTAAAAAAACAGCCAGACAACACTATATGAATTGAAAACTAACTTTTACGACTATTTCGAAAAAATTCTTTGAGATAGGGCCAAGGATGAGGGAGGTCTTGTTGGTCTTTATCTCCCGATACTCTCTCGCCTGTGTCCGACCTTTCAGACATTTCAACATCTTTTTAATAAATCCGACATTGTAGCATGGCATAGACAATTTGCTTTTGTAGTTTGAAGAACACCTCCTTGCTTCTGATTATTTCCTTTAGCTAACCAATGAGCGTTTGTTATATGACTCATCCAATTACACTAGTCAAGATGTGCTATTTCAGTCGCACCAAACAGGAAAAAGGATAGCAAGAAGATGTAGTTTGTCAAATTAAAATATAGTAAAAACAGATCGCTAACTACAAATTAGAGCATAATTCTTAAATATAAAAAAAAAAAAACTAACACCGTTTATTTAAAAAATTGTACTTCAACAGACCAGGAGGCAGATTTCTCATCTCCATCAGAAACCACACATATGCTGGATGCTGATGGGGATTTTTTTAATATGTCCTATTTATTAAGCATTAATCTCAGCATGTTTTGTTCCTACGAATTTAATGATAATATCGCGCATGCTCTCCTAAAGCTCAGGGGATAATTCAGAGTGCAGCAATACGAGAGGAACAGCGGAGGCTGTAGGCTTTCCTTTGTGCAGGAGACCTCCTGGTTTCGGGGTAACAGGAGAAGCGGCGTAAGTGACGTTGAGACAGTGTTGTTCACAACATGTGTTAATTTATAAATGTTTTAAATAATCAGGTTGGGTCAGGATTAGCCAGCAGGTGGGTCCGGATCCGGACCACGGTCCGCTAATCCGTGACCGGGTCCGCTAAACCGACGCCAAGAGTAACGAGTAACGTTTGTTTTAAATATGTAAGGAATAGAAAATGCAGATACTTTTGTGAAAATGTAATGATTAGAAGTCAGAAGTAGGAAGAAAAATAAGTAATGGAGTAAAGTATAGATACCTAAAAAGTGTACTGAAGTACAGTAACAAAGTATTTCTACTTCGTTACTTGACACCTCTAATTAAGGATCAATCTTTAAAGGCAAAACGCAGACTATGTGACCTAAAGAGTTGACGCATAGAGTTATTTAAAATAATTCCTCAGGCCAGTATACGGTGCTTGGTACTATCAATGTTTCAAGTGGGGCCCCCCTCTTGAAATACCGCCTATGTTAGTCGGGAAAAGACGCTGCGTCATTGGCCAGGTCTTGTGACCTGGAAGAAGGTATCGCTTTACGGCCAAAGGCTCTTATATGGTAACGGAGCTAAGGATTTTGCGCTACTATTTTTTCGCCTGCTTGACTACTTGTTATGGTTGAGGCAAGGAAAAAGTTTAAACCATCTGAGGAGGCTAAAAAGACAAACCGTGAAATGGATTGTGCGCGAGGAAAAACAAGAGTTGATTTTGCTAAGGCGTTTATTCATTGGCGCATCCTGAAAGAAGACGCCGGGTGTAAAACCGATTCTCTTTTCTCAAAATTATTATTAAACTGGTAAGTTAAGACTTTGCTCCTAGTAAACAGTCATATATCTTTGTTATTATATTTGATGTTCAGTAGAAGCGAAATACAGGCAGTTACAGGTCTAGCGCCTCTAAGGGCCAAAAGTTATACATTGTTCCTTTAACTGTGGAGCCTTTGGTAATAAGTATTGGATTGAACCGAAAACATGACTGTGGTTTACAGCTTCGCTGCTTCTGCTCTTTTTAATCATCAGTGTCTTTTGTGAAGCTTTTCTGCCGGTCATTACATATAGTTTTTGTCTTTGCTAGATAATGAGTTTTTTATTACTTGTTTGTTTAATATAACTCCTGACGAAAGAAAATGAAAGACTTTGTAAAGTTGCACCCGCAATGGTTCCACACATATTAGGAAAAATTTGTCTGAGCCAGATGTATGCTGGCAGACACACAGGACCTAAATAGGTGCTCTGGTTTCTGTTTATAATAATATTAAAGATTCTCACATGATGTAGAAGATGGAAAATGAAATTCTTCTAAACCTACTGAAGGTAAAAAGCCTTCTTGGAGAATCTGTATAGAAGTGTTTCATGTTTGAGCTGAGTGGTGAGTCTGTAAAGGAGTCTATGGATGCAATGTTCACCTTTCAACTTAACGTTGTTTAAGCACTTACACACACACACACACACACACACACACACACACACACACACACACACACACACACACACACACACACACACACACACACACACACACACAGAGGAGTATTACCAAAAGCTCACATATGAGATAAAGGATGTGGCCAATTTAGCACAGAAATTAGAATAAAGAAATCCACTTTTTATAAGTAGTGAAAAGCACAGTAAAACAATGAAATCAAAATAAGGGGGAAAAAATGACATTGCGTTTCATGTTGTTGCATATAAGCTATGTATGCTAATCTTAGCAATGCAGCAAAGCTAGCATATGCATTAAGTCAAAAATGTTACTGTTAAAACTCTAGTCTTACATATATTTTTATACATATTAGCTAAGATCATGTCCACCTATCTGCAAGATACAAAGAACTTAGTGACAACCAAGCATCCCCAGTACACTGGAAAAAAAAAAAAAAATAATTTGGATACACTTAAAAAAATAATGTGTTACATTTAACTGTATAACTTTTTCTCAAATTAATTTGATAATATGATTGTAAGTATGATTTTGATTAATTACAAAATGTTTTTTACCTTCAGACAAAGAAACTGCATTCAAACAAAGTAAAACTATAACTTTTAACAGATAATTAACAGGTTTTTTGCTTTTTTGCAAAAGGGTATACTGCATTTATTTTTAAAGAGTAATTACATAACTTTGTAATAATAGTTGGAACTATCTTTATTGATACAGACACACAATTTTGTAATTCATGATAACTTGGAGCTGGACCTTTAGTTTCTAAACTTTAAAAACTCGATAGGTGTT